TGGACCCCTTCTGAGACCTTCCTTAACAAGGTCAAAATATCAGAGATTCCACTCTCTACTAATTTGAACGTTAAGCAGTTCAAAGGCAACACAACACTTGAAGTCTGTGCACAAGAAATACAATCTACTAATGACACTACTGTTAAGAAGCGTCAGTCTCTAGCTAGGACTCTGTTTGATAACATAAAGTCCAAGCCCGAAGTCTTTCAACCCCTATTTTTAAAAGGATTAATGAAAGATAATCCTGAAGCGTATACACGTATAATGCGACTATTAAATAAGTCAGGTGTATCAAACACACATGAGCGCACTTATGACACTCATGCAAAAGAAGGACAGTAGTCACTACAGACTTGGAGACCACGCAAGTGGATTCTCAACACCCTACCTTTATTCTGGAAGAGCAAAATGATGAAAACATTCTTGCTTGGCTGATGCACAATCATAAGCTGAAGCACCAGAACGAAATAGACACACTTAAAGATGCTAAGCGAAATGGGATCGCACACCCTAAGCTGGCAACTTTAGTTGACAAAGTATATCAGTCATGCTCAGACTGTGATCTCAATCAGATCAAGCGCTATGGGTTCGCACCGCTTAAGAGTGTGACTGAAGATGTTCCATGGCGCAGGGTCATCATTGATCTGGTTGACCTGCCCACGTCCGGGCACACAGGCGACCGTTACGTATGCCACTTCTTTGATGTGGCGTCACAGTTTAATTTGCTCTATCTCTTAAAGGAGAAGAATACCGTGGCAGAATTATGTTGCCCAAGTCTTTGCTGACCACGGGTGGCCAGGTATTATGTGTACTAATAACGGTAGTGAGTTCTGCGATGACGTAATGGAATCGCTAGTACTCGTATCAGGCATATGCCATAAGAGAGGTGTGCCATATAAACCGCAAACGCAAGGCGCGAATAAAACGCGCCATAGAAGACTTAGGTGCTTCATGCGTACTGCATTAACGAATGATGCAGATGATTGGTCGTACCACCTTAAGTGGGTACAAACACAGATGAACGAGTGTGCTGATCCGGTTACAGGAACTACACCCGCTCACTATTTTCGTGGTAGATATAGTGAGTTACAAATCCTCTTTCACAAGGACGAACCTGATCACCATGAGTTACCATGGTTAGAGAAGGTACAACGTATTTATGAAGTTGTATATCCTTGCTTGCGAGAAATATGCAATTTAGCCTTATTAAAAAGGCAAAAGCGTTGGAACACTACCAAGAAGATAGCAGAGTATCAGGTCGGTGACAGAGTTAACATCCGTCAACGTAATTCCGATGCTACTGTATTGATATCTAAATGGATAGGCACATATGTAATCTCTGCAGCAGACACTAAAAGTGGAACGTACGAGGTAAACAACCCCGATGGTTCTAGTGCGCTTAATATAGGCACAAGTCGTATTCCGACTACAGAGATTATACTCGCAAGAAGACATGACTCTAATGCCCCTCTTGATCGTTCTGAATTTAAAGACATTATATGGAGAACGGATAAGGGAGGCTACACATACTATCGTACACGCTTTATAGACGGTACAATAGCTGAGTTGACTTCAGATGCTTTCGATCACCAAGGCTATTTAAAAGCCTTTAATCGAAAATGGCGTAAACGCCTGCATAAGTCACAAGCTGAAAAAGATAGCATGTTTCCATCGTCTAAAGGAACGGAAGTTAAAACTTATCCGCCTACAGCATTTATCCCGAGCCTTAATGCTCATCCTTCATCTGTGCTTAAAACACTGAAGCGTAAGGAACGTCCAGTCGACCACCACGGACCTACTGAACTTAAGCCCAAAACTCACAGGGTAACCGAGAACACTTAACTTCTCCGCCTGAGAAACATTAACTATACGTTATGCTACTTAATGTTTTCGACCCGTAATATCCCCCTCATACGCTGAGGCTGTTGCATCAGCCTGTACTGCTGTCGCCCATGCGGTTCACGCATCTGGCAAGAGTGGTACGTTTACGCACCGCTAACGCCAAGCCATCCAGGCCATCCCAACCATACAGCTCTCTGAGCCTGGCAAGCACCTTCTCAACACTCGCGTGCATATCAAGGACGTTGTGGGTCGCGCCCACCACGTTCCTACCCGCTGGCTAGGAGAGCCTTTGGCTCCGTGAGATATACGGAGATTCACCTATGCACGCCAAGAGCGCCTCGCGACCTCCCGTTATGCGTCCGCTTGCGCACCATACTCCGAGGACTCCACTAAAAGGTCCTGCGCCTCCCGCAGCGTAGGCACCAGCGGTGCCTGCTCTGGCCGTGAGCGCAGAGTGCTTTTACCGCGCAGCCCACCACCGGAGGCCGAGCAAATGCCTCCACTCCGGCCCAGAAAGAATCCGGAATCCCTGCACGCTTCGCGTATGAGATCCGACATACCAGGGTGGGACCCCAAAGGAGTGGACCCATCTCCTCATGCCCATGCCGAAAAAAAAACACCCCTTTCTGCGGGAGAACGACTATAGGCTGACGAGCCAGCATGGCTTTCATCCGCTCCCACCAACCCGCATCAGGCATGTACGGGCACACTAGAGTTATCTCGAGCTGCTCCGCGATGACCTTAGCCAGGACTCTGGGTATCAGCACCCAGGGCGGGCTCGCCCAAATATTTAGACCAACCCAGGACGCTGCCAAGGCACCCCCATCGGTAGATGGCGAAAAGTAGTTAGGAAGCTGTTCTCGGGAGAGCAAACGCATCATGTGTGTGCGGCCCCCATGCTTTGTCCGCCTTGTTAAAAACGAATTGGGCAGCTTTGTTTATTGGTCCGCGGTTTGGCCTCCTTGGCCACCGGATACCTCCAGGTGACTCTTACGCCTCGGAGAACGCGGCCTCCTGCGCCGGTCCCCACTCGAACTTCACGCCATCCTTTATCAACTTGAATATGGGCGCGAGATTTTTGGCCAAACCTTCTATGTAATTCTTCCAGAACACCACAATATGAGACCAAGACCGGACTCGGTCTTGGGTGTCCGGCCTGTCCATCTCCAGGACGGGGGCCAAACAGTCAGCCGCAATGGTGACACCTTCGTAGCTAGCCCAGCGCCCAAGAAGCTTGACCGGGCGATTATAGTATGCCACCCTGGCCTTGCGCAGTCCAAACTGTACATCATATTTTTCACAACGCTGGAGGCTGACCTTGCGCAGTCCAAACTGCACATCATATTTTTCACAACGCTGGAGGAACTCTTCCAACAACTCTTCCAACAGCTGCCAGTGCTGCTCCGCCGTATCGGACGCTAGCACAATGTCATCGATGTACTACATCACTCCATCCAGCGCATCAAAAATGCAACTCAGGACCTCCTGGAATCGCCAGGAGGCTTCGGTTAATCCAAACGGTAGAGAGGTGTACCTGTACCATCCCCAGGGCATCATAAACGTCAAGATATTTTGGCTTCCGTCATCCAATTCCAACTGTGCAAAGCCATTGCCGCAGTCTATCACCGCCACCCAAGGCTTACCAGCTATGTGGCGGAACATATCCTGCTCCGAGGGGATGCCAAACGGCTCCTGTTCCAGCTTCGCGCGCCACTTGGCGAAGTTAGTACAAAAACGCCAATCGTCTTTTGTCTTGGGCTCGTGCGGGGATCCTTCCTGGCCATTACCGGCTTTGACAACCACAGCACGTCCGGGTCCGTCTGCTTCTCGATAATACCCTGCGCCACCATCTCATCCAACTTCTCCATCTTCGCCAGCTGCTGGGGATTATTCTTGTCAAGACCATCCATGTAGCACAAGCGCGCAGGTGCCACATTGGTCTTGGGTTGAAGTCGAACCTTGTCCACCTTCATAAACCGATGAGCCTCCTTGTTATAGGCCCGCGCTTCTATCATCGTCTCCATGCACGCAAGCTCACGCAGCGACTTACCAAGCTCCTTTACCAATTGGCGCAGACCCGAGCGGTCAAATTCAATGGTCTTGTCCACTCGCTCGTCACTCGCTTCCAGAGGCTTGTCTAACTTATTCATGGCTTCCGTAGGAAAATCAATCATGTTGACCAAATACGGAAACTTAGGGGAGTACAACCCATGGACCATCAAGGGCACTGCCGCCGCTACGCGGGTGCCCTCGTCTCATCCCACCAGAACTGGGAGGCTGCCGCCCCCCAGACATATTAGAGGGCTGCTTTCGCATGCCAATCTGGGCCTTCCCCGGAACTCCATCAGGGGTACTGCCGCCGCTACGAAACGGGTGCCATCATCTCATCCCACCAGATCTGGGAGGCTGCCACCCCACAGACATCTTAGGGGGCTACTTTCGCATGCCACTCTGGGCCTTGGGCAGCTTTCACTTACCGTCATGGACTGCTGACCACATGTCAGCACCTTCACCCCGCCCGTCATGTCGCCCCCCAGACATATTAAGGGGCTGCTTTCCCATGCCACTCTGGGCCTTCATCGGAACTCTATCAGGGGCGCTGCCGCCGCTACGCGGGTGTCCTCGTCTCTTCACACCAGAACTTGGCGGCTGCCTACGCCTGTGCCCTCGTCTCATCTCACCAGAACTGGCAGGCT